TGACCCCCAGCCACTGGAGCCTGCTGGTCCACCACCATGGCCTGGCCCTGGGACAGGGAGAGAGACAGGCCAGCCATAGGGAGCCCACCCTGGGGGAAGCGGCCTGGAAGCTGTGGGGGTGGCGTGTGGAGGCTGGCGGCGTTCTGGACCGGGGGACCTTTGGACGGGTCATACTGTTGCTGGTTCTGTTTCTGCCCACCAATCTGGACCGTTTGTGGAGTCGGGGGCATGCCTCCTGTTATGGGGGACAAGATGAAGGAAACGGAACAGAGAGAGGAAAGAGAAAGATAGAGGGAAATGGAGAGCAAAGAAGAGTTCCATAGAAGGAGAAAATGAAGAATTGGAAACACAATATATTGTCTTAGCTCATGTCTGTCTACAGAGACCACCAGACTGCATTCTCTGTCATTTTTTATATATATATATATATATATATTTATAAGCACCCTAAAGGCCCATACTGAAAGGCCAAAATGTTGTATTTGACACTTTAAATAACTCTTGATATCTGACGTAATTTTTCTTGTATTTAGATAAAATGAAAAGGACATGTGTGAGTCATAGTTCACCTGCAATTGAGAAGAAATAAGAAATTATACTTAAGATTAGTAAAATAATTTTAACTGAAACATTATTTGTATGACAATTAAAACCATGTCTCTCCAATTCTCATTACCTTGATGTTAGATAATATTTATTTTATAATTATTATTATAAAAAGACTTTATACAGTAACTTGAATGTAATTTATTATCTTATATAACATTTTAAAATATTTACACATTTTTGTTAATGTAAAATGTAAAACTGCCAACAATTTGTACTGGAAAAAAATATTACAGAATTTAAAATAAATCACTGTAATACAGTACAATATAGTACAGTAATTAAGATATTTTATTGTCACGAAAACAGTACTGCATTCTTTACGGATCTAAACATCTATTTTGATTGTGGGGTGCAATCGAACTCAGATACGACTTTACCCATTTGTGTTTCAACTAAACTTCTTTTGTTTTTATGGATATGATGTTATGAATTACCAGCAATGTGTTACACAATGCTGGAGAAAAGGGAACATTAATGAAAAATACCGTTCGTGTCACAATGACTACATAACAAAAATCAAGAAAGATATACATGTTCTAATGAATGAAAATTAGAACTCGTAAATGTGAAAATCAAAATATTTCGTTCAATGCTTAAGAATACTACTATGAAGAACAAAACTAATCATGCATTACCATTGAACTATCCATAAGTGGAAAAGTCTAGATATAAAAAAGAAACCAAATAAAACAAAAACAGGAGAAGAACTCGAAAGAAAAAAAAGGCACAGAAAGGTAATGGACACGACTGAAGCACTGACACACTTCATGAACATGCACGAAGCAGGTAATGTCTGGAACAATACTGTGTTAATACTTGAGCCACACAACAGCAAAGCAGAGGGTATAGCAGAGGAATGACAAGGGAAGTTTAGCACAGAAGAAGGTAAAGCCCAGCTGTAAACGCCAAGTATCTCCCTCTTTTAGCATTTCATCATGAGCTAAATAACCAACTACGTCAATTTGTCAGCTCCGAAGCTTTCTGAGGTTAATCTGCTTGATTATAAGGCCTTTCCTGAGCGCCACTTTCGGCTCCTCACCATCAGGTCATGAAGCAATGCTATGGAAACCGAAGATGAGGGTGGGAACTGAAAACATGGTGTCCATAAAACGAGGAGAAACGAAAAGGGAACCAAGACTGAAAATGCATTTAGATTCCAAGTTGACAATGCGGTGAATTTAGGGAAGTGAAGGAGGAGCTTTGTAGGATCAGGAGAGGAGATGTCAACTATAAAACCGCAGAACTAAACGCAAAACAAACACTATGTGAAATAGGACATCCCAGTAGACAGCTTGGGGCTCATCATCTGATGAGCCTTGGATGGAATCAGAGATGCCAATATGGCAAAGAAGAACGTAAACGGATGAGGTGAATGGCTCAAGGAACTAATGAGCAAATCATAAATGGAAAAAAAATGTGATGTCTTCCAAACTGATCTTCAGCTGTATCTTCTTGCCCAGCTGTCCCTCTGATGCTTAGAGAACGATTTTAAATGAGGGCTATGTCTGAACGGAGTCCCAACAAGTGGATCACAACTGGTAGATGATGCTTGGAAAAAAAGGTGGGATCAACTTGGGGAACTCTGGAATGAACTCTGACCTCCAGCAGCATTGAATAATGGTAACAAGAGCGGATCTGTCCCGAGACGCAACGGCGCTCCTACCTTGCGCTGTTGGCATGAGCTGCTGGAGGGGAACGCCGGGAGATCCTAAAGGAGTTACAGCGGGGTGCTGGAATATCATCCCATGCCGACCCACTTCCATCCGGGACCTCTTAGCCTGATCTGGGATGCAAAACACACAATAACCCCAAAACGCAAAAAAAAAAAAATCCCTCCCAAAAAAATCAGATATAGAACAGGAAAAACCAAAAGAAGGAGAAATAACACTTGAAACATGGCAATGATGTTTGCACACCAGCAGGTAGCTGTTGGGAAGCTCCGCTCCCCGTTTTCTGGATTACAGGCTTCAAACACAGAGCTGGGAAAAGATGCTGGAATACTGAGTAAGCAGAAGCGAATTGGAAGGGGAGAAATAAAAAGGAAGAGCAGCAAACAGAAAAGCAGAAAACAAAAGGGGGAATAAAGAAACAAATGAAAACAAAACAGGCTTCCACCTTTGCCCTGCGTCGACGTCGCCCTACCTGCTTGTGCCATGGCCTGCTGCCGTTTGAAAGCCTCCATGTCCACAGGGTTCGAGATGCTGCCACATGCCACCCCGGCATGGGTCTATGAGACCGAAAACAAACCAAAGTGAAAGTCTCATTCACACACAGCAAAAACATTACTGGTGACCTTAACTAAAGCTTGCCTGATTATGACTAAGGTCACAATTCTGTCAAACCACATAATGAAAGCACTATCATACTGAATGTTAACATTTTGGAAATGTTTTGAATGATTCCTCCTTCACATTTCTACTAAGGAAGCCTCCATCACCTGGAACAGCTGCTGAGTAGAGAACGCTGCAGACACGTTGGGTGGGAGTTGTGTAGCTATAGCAACAGGAGTCACCGTCTGTCCATCCTTTCCAGTCACTACTTTCACCTGAGAGGTTGTCATAGAAACAGATGAGAGATACAAAGCAAGATTTATATTTTTATTCATAAATAAAAAAAATTATCAAAATAACCCTAAAAAAATATGAAGCAGCACAACCGTTTTCAACACTGATAATAAGAAATGTTTTCCTCGAGCAGCAAATTTGCAAATAATAATGATTTATTTTTATATTAGACCACTATTACGGCTGCTGAAAATTTAACTTTGGCATATTTGAAAACATATTGTAGGTAAGAGCAAAACACATGTTTTACCTCATCATTGATGACCTCAGACTGCTCTTCCTCCTCCTCTTCATCTTCAAGGTCAAGATCATTTTGCCTCAGGTAGGTGAAGAGAGGCAAACATTACTGGTGACCTTAACTAAAGCTTGCCTGATTATGACTAAGGTCACAATTCTGTCAAACCACATAATGAAAGCACTATCATACTGAATGTTAACATTTTGGAAATGTTTTGAATGATTCCTCCTTCACATTTCTACTAAGGAAGCCTCCATCACCTGGAACAGCTGCTGAGTAGAGAACGCTGCAGACACGTTGGGTGGGAGTTGTGTAGCTATAGCAACAGGAGTCACCGTCTGTCCATCCTTTCCAGTCACTACTTTCACCTGAGAGGTTGTCATAGAAACAGATGAAAGATACAAAGCCAGAGAAAAATAAAAATGAAAAAGAGAGCAAAAGTTCCATACAAAAAAAAAATTGTTTCATGGGTCACAAAGACATCACATGATGATTAGATCTAATCACTTAAAAATATATTCATTTCTGAATTGATATATATTTAGATTTTTTTTAAGGGGGGGATTTTAAAGAATTTGAAAGAAATCAATACTTTTAATACTAATTAATACTTTTATTCACCAAGGATGCAAATTTATAAAAGGTGAAAGTAAATATATATATATATATACTTTTATACACACATATATATATATATATATATATATATAAAGA